GTGTGTGTGTGTGTGTGTGTGTGTGTGTGTACCATACTGTTTTGATCGGTACAGCTTTGTACTATAACTTGAAGTCTGGAATTGCGATGCCCCCATCTTTGTTTTTCTTTTTCCAGACTGCTTTGGCTATTCGGGGTCTTTTGTGAGAATCCCTCTTTTTTGTTTTTTGTTTTATGGAGATCAAAATTCTCCAAGGAATGGGAGAAATCTTCCTAAGAGCAAAGAACTCACAAGAGTTCTTAAGTTTCAGAAGATAAGAAGAGAGTATTAACTTATGCATGTTTCCAAATCCTGGAGTTTTGACCTAGCACCTCCCAAAGGATGCCCCTTGAAGCTTAAAGAAGGGGGGAGTTTAGGATAAATCAAATGAGTATTTTCTCGGTAATTCAGTACGCCCGCATGATGCTACAGACCCAGGCATAGTCCCGGTGTGTGGGGTGCAGGTGGTAAGAGCTGCTTACAGGCAGAAGATGACCCTGGCCACAGTTGGCATTGCAGAACGTGCCCGTGGGCCATCAGAGGCAGGGGGTCTGGCTGATCCACGAGGGTGCTGCTTTCTCTTTCTCAGAGGTTCCCAGTCTCCCCTGTAATAAACATCCAGTGGTGTTTCAAGAGGAATTGCCCAAACCTCAGCTGTCTGACCATCAGGAGGACTCCTCAGCATTTATAACAACAAACAAAGGCACCCCTGATACAGACGGTCATTGTGCCTTCCGGTTGTGGATAAACAAACAGGAAGTCATGACATCAGTGTCCAGGCCGGAGAGCAGGGGCCAGGCGTCCATGCCTAGACGTTAGCCATCTTTCAGACTCCCCGAGCCACTTTCTCCTTTGAATTGGCTGAAAGGGCAGGGTGCACTCCTGACGTCACACGAGCTTTGGAAATAACAAAGACAAGGGGTGCCTTTTCTTCCACATCTGTAAGACTCCGGAAACAACCCAGTCACAGCCGCCGTGGTGTGCACCTTCCCCAAACCCCCACCGGACCAGCACCAGCAGCATTCATCTGCTTGCTGACCGGGCTCCTCAAGGGCGGAAGCTGTGTCTTCCTGGTCCTATAGTACCTGCTGGTGCCTGGAACATAGGAGATGCTGGGTAAGCATCATCTAGATGATGGCAGTAGTGATAACCTCACATCCAGCAAGGACGTTCTAAAGGATTTTTGGTGATTCGGAATCTCAGACCAAAAAAATAAATAAATAAAATTTATGTTTTGCCAATTATATGATCTTCCAAGCAATTGAAAAGAAATTGAGGTGCTTTTCATGCTGAGAACTCGGAGAATTTAGACGCTCTTACTCCGTTTAAGGTGAGTGTCGGTGACCCTGGGACCTTCCTGCGTGCTGAGAAATGATGACACGTCATAGATACATGGCTAACTAGGCTCCAAGTAAATCCCGGGGGAAGGAAGCCTTCCTAATCCACTGACCGTCTTTGCCAGCCCTATGGTGTCAAATAAACACAAAAGTTTCATTCACACCTGGGGAAGAGGGAATACTAGTTTGTAATAAAAAAGAAATCTCACAAATGCCATTTCCCTCCTTCTGCCCCGTGCATCTCCATACAAGTTGGAGGAAGTTAGCATGCCCGAGGCTTGCCTCTGGTTGTGAAACTTACGCCCCGAGACACTCCCAGATCCTGGAGTCCCCACGGGCTTGGCATGGGCTTCTGCGTGACTTGTGTCCAGGGCAGCGAGCACACCTACACAGCAGGTGGACCAGTCCTGCTGGGCCCCCTCACTCCCTCCGCCCCTCCCTCCCTCCCTCCCTCCGTCACTCTCAGCTTTGGTTTCCCGGCCACCAGGATTCAGATTTGTGCCTTGGCTTAATTACAGATGGCCACGTATTGTGGAATCTTAGGGCACTCAGGAATAGTCAAAGCATGCATCTTTGACCCAAGACTGTCAGGTCCCCCCACGGTCAGTGCTCCGTGGGTGTCTGGGGAAGGTAGCTTTTTGAGCTGAGAAATGCTGGAGGGACAAGTGGTGGGGGCGGGGCGGGGGGTACAGGGACGCTCGCCTAGTGCCCCAGCCAGCCTGCATGCTGCCTCTCTCCTCACGTGGCTCCTGTCGGAGCCAGAAAGGATGCTATTGCCTGGTGCCCGCAGGGAAGAAGTGCGACTGCACACGCAGCGCGCGTTGGGCCTGATTCTGGGCTTTCCAGGGCCAGAAGCTCAGGGGAAGGATTGTGTCTCTGTAAAGGCAGAGAAAATCCTCAGGCTGGCATTTGTTAGTAACACACGACTATCAGAGCGTACTTGCTGTCGAAATGTTCACTTACCTGAATCGTTTTCCGGTCCCTGGTGTTTCCTCTCCCAAGAGGGAAGGAGAGGCGGGGGTTGGAGGGAGAGCGCCCCGGGGCACACAGGTTCCAGCCTGCCTGGTGCACCCTTCCCCACGCTGCCACACTCTTAACCTCATTCCTGAAGAACTCTGGTCCCATGCGAATCAGCGACAAAAGTAATTGCCACCGGGTCAAATAACTCCTCCACACTTGGCTTTGGAAAGCCTGCTTTAAGCAAAGGAGCCGATGTGTTTGAGAGACAAAGGGATTGGCAAGTGATGGAAAATCCGGGGGCTTCCTTACCTTTCTGCCTCGGGGGTTGAACCTTAACCCTAAAAGGCCTGAGGTCTGCGAGGGGGCTTCAGCCCAGCCTCTGCCCACCTCTGTCTTCCTGGGTTCCCGAGAACCAGGTCAGGAGAGGAGGGAGCTGTGAGCGCTCCGCAACTGGGCTCCCTTTGCGGTGGAGGCTGGGACCGGGTCGTTGGAATATCCCCGCGGCTAAACGTGGTAGTGCTGAAAATAGAGGGGTTTGATTGGCCACCCCGCCCCGGGTGGGGGTGGGCTGAGAGGTCATGTGAAGGCGTCAAGAGGGCAGAAGGACCGTGAGTGCCCTTCAAGGTCAAACACCACCGTGCTCTCTCTCTGTCCAGATGCCAGCATTTCACAGCTACCCCAAAGGGTGTGGGAACAAAAATTACAGGTGCATTGGGTTAATTATGCCCCTTATTTAACTTAATTGCAGGCTCAGACAACCAGGTGGTCATTATTTTGATTGGTCTCATTAGGCAGATGTGTTCACAAGCAGCTGCATGCAACGTTTGGGGCAGGTTCAGAAACGACATGTCCAAGAAAGTCCGGTTGAAGCCTTTGAAAAATCTGGCCTCAGGGTTGCCGGGGTGGCTCAGTCAGTCAAGTGCCTGACTCTTGATGTCAGCTCAGGTCGTGATCTCATGGTTTGTGAGTTCGAGCCCTGCATCAGGCTCCCACGTGAATAGCACAGGTAGCCTGCTTGGGATTCTCTCTGTCTCTCTCTCTCTCTCTCTCTCAAAAAAGAAAAAAAATTTGTCCTCAGATGCGTAGTGAGTTCTAACAACTAGTATTTTCCATGACGTAAACACTTCAAGTCCCGTGATGACAGGTGGAAAAGAAAAAGAAACCTAAAAGGTCCGTGTGTACAAAGGAAGGCAAACCGATGCTGGACGGCAAGGGGTTTCTGGTTTTGCCGGGGATCAAGCCACCTCATTAAGTCAGCAGAGCAGCCCCAGTCCCATTTTTGTGTGTAGGCTGAAAGAGACTGTACTGTCCCTTCTCTTCCTTGCCTGTGAACAATGAAGACAAGGTTCGTCTTCCTGCCTTTTTATAACCAGCTGATATTGGGGGCATCTTGAACTTGCGGTGCTCAGCTTACATAACCGTGTTCTGCAGGAAGCTTCTTACGCCATCAGTCAGGCTAGAGAGAGAGTGTGCTGAACCTTGTTTACAGTAGAAGCTTGCAACACTTGAAAGGGGGAAGTAACCCCTGAAGAAAGCAGGAATCCGTACTGCAGACAGTCAGACTCGGATGGATGTCCTCGGGGAAAGCCCTGCCCTGGAAGAAAACCGTGAGATTCCGATACTGTACCATCAGAATCGATCCATTCTAAAACCCTCCCACCCCGCGGCGTTGCCGGCCGACCTCTAAGTGAGCCTGTAGGTCATGGCTTTCCTGCAGACCTCCGTTTCTCCAGCTGTGTGTTTTGGGGGCGACAGCACCACACTGTCTCCTTTTGTCCTGGGGGCCGGAGGTCTGTTGGAAGAAGTTCCCTGGCCCCTTGGAGGGGCCGCCCGGGCCCTGCACTGCCATCCGACTGACGCTCTGGTTTTGTTCCCGTTTAGATGAGTTCTGGTTCTCCGATGGGTCCTTATCGGATAAGTCCAAGTGCGCAGATCCTGGCCTGATGCCCCTCCCGGACACGGCCACGGGTTTAGATTGGTCCCACCTCGTGGACGCTGCACGGGCATTTGAAGGTAAAAAGACTCAGGGCCTCCAGGGCCTGGGGCGGCAACATAGGGAACGCGTCTGCTTTTCGGATTGGTCTGGGTTAACGTTTTGGATGCTTTGCACATCCTTGTGGATGAAAACGCACAGGGGAAGGCTTGAGCTGTGACTAAGGGCGTTTCGTCAGGGAGACCGTGCCATTTCGTGACATGAGCACCGGACAAAGGATCCCAAACCCGCAATCCAGATCAGGTGCCAGCCCTGATCTTGGACGAGTCACTTCCCCTCTCTGACCTGTCTTCCTACCTGAAATGTGGAGGTGAATCTGTAGGACCCAGATTCTTCCCTTCGAGCGTCACGAGGGGAGATGGAGAGGAAGGGCCTCCAGAGGCCGCGGCTGCCTGGCTCGGTGGGATGGGCACAGCTTGAGGAGTCTGGCAGTTTGGTGTACATGCAGTGTGACGTGCCCCAGCCCCGCCCGTCTTCCTCCTCCTCCATGTGTCCCTGACACACCAGACATGCCCATCTCTGAGGGCCTTTCCAGCCGCCACGCCCCCGGGAATTTTCGAGGTTGAAACTGCTCCCATGACCCGGGATTGTGACCTGTGCCATTTGCTGGCGCTGCCCTTCTACGACGACCGCTGCCCCTGGGGTGACTGGTAGAAGTGACCGGGGAGGCGGGGTCTGTCTGCGAATCCCGGCGGAGGGCCACGTGTGGCCACCCCCACGGAGGGGAGGGGGCCAGGGGAGTCTGCAGCCGCCTGAGCAGCCCATCTCTTCTCTCCCTCTCCCCGTCCACTCACCTGCTTGGTCTCTACCCCCACCGCACATCCAGGCTTCGGGACACAAAAGCACGTTCCTTTCCCAGAAGTGACTGGTGTTGCTGCCAGGTCAGGGTGCTGCCTGAGGTGGGGGTTGCTGCTTGCCCTGCCCCTCACTCTGCACAAGCTGGCCCTGCCGAGGGATCTGTTCTAGATGATCGGGATCGGTGTCTCTGGTCCTAAGTTCCGGTGGTGACAGGGGGAGGGGGAAGGCTACGTGGAGGCTAATTCAGACACCAGGGGCGTTAAGCTCCAGTAGATAAGCAGAGAGAAACTCTGTTAGGAAGTTTCTGCAAATTGAACAGGCTCTTACTGCTCCCTTAATAGGAGTGAGCGTCTTGGGTTCACTGCCTTGCAAAGTACTCAATTCCATGTGGAAACCTCAGAGTGCCCGTCCGCTCCGCGATGCAGCCTTCGTTCCCTGACATTACCCGAAGTTGGTTATAGAACCCCAGGCCCTCGGCCCAGTTGCTTCCTGTGCTTCCAACGCCGACCTAGATGCGACCTAGCCCCAAGGGGCGGGAGCGCTGTCTTTACCTCCGTCCAGAGCAGCCCAGGCAGCAGGAAGCAGCATTTTCTCTGGCCCATTCTTGGCACGCTGTGCTGGCTTACTGCCCCCGGGAGAGTATGAGAACATCTATTCTGTCCGCTGCGTTATTCTCGGCTGCGTAAATATTTGCACGGTACTTACCGCGCTGAATTCTGCTTTCTTCACTTGTCTGTAGCTTCTTCCTAGGTGATGAGTTTCTCAAGGGAAGGCTGCTTGTTTTACGTGTCTTATCTTTATTTATCAAGCACATGGCGAGATAACTGAATGACAAAAGCTAGTACCAGAAGACGGGTACCCAACGCACAGGATACTTGAGCTATTTACCTACTCGTGGCATCGGTTTTGACCTCCGAAGACCCTTTCGCATTTTATGCTCACTTTTCGGGTGTAAAATATTTATCAGCCTATCTGCGTATCTACTCGCCACCCCCCGTTTGTGCCTTTGCTTGGTTCCCTTCCCCCGCCTCAAGAATAAAAGCACTGCTCTGAAACAGATCTTTGAAGGACAGGGGCTAAGAGCGGGAAGTGCAGAAACCAAAGTGGCACGTGCGGCAGTGACGAAGGCGTCCACCCAGGGACTCTGGTCACAGTCACAGCTCAGCTGCTGGGTTGCATGCCTTTGGACAAGTCCCTTAACTACCACAATACCACACTACGGGCCGACACCGAATGTTCAGTGGTAATCCTCAGAAGTACCTGATTAAATATTTGCATTGGGCTGCATTCAGTCTTCTTGACCAGAAAATGAACACGTAAGGCTTCTGACGGTCTTAAACCCCCCACTTCGGCAGTTCAGGTCTGTTCATCAGAGAGGGGTTGTGAGCCGAAGTTAGGGTCTAGGTGCGAGTTGGCGCCCACAGACAAAAGAGAAAAAGCATGACGTGGAAACCCCAGAGAGCCAACACCTCGCGTGCATTGGCATCAGTGCCAAACAGGACGAATGTGGGGTTCTGCCTGCCAGGGGAGCAGACTTCGGTCATCTGACCTTTCCGAAGTTTCCAAACGCTTACAAATCAAAATTAGAGGAATTCTCGGTGCTACTTTGCAGGGCAGCGGACCACAGCACGCCGCCTTGAGACCACAGGCAGCTTAGGAGAAGTCAGCTGGGAATTTGCAGCTCCAGACATTTGCTAATCAGATCGTCTCGTGTCAGTGCCACTCTGACAACGCTGGCATGGTGGCGAGTGGGTGTCATCCATCACCTCAGCACTTGAAAGAGAAACGTCTTCACCGAGATAACCCACTTGCCCTGCCTGTTACTCGATCTTTCTTGTACCAGTTCCCAGAGCCCTTTCTGAGCTAGACTACACAGGATAAAGATAGTCCAGAAAATCCCCTATGCATCTGTTTAATTGCTACAAACTAATAAAGGCAGTTCAACATGCCTTACTGAGCTCAGAATGCTCTGGAATAATGCGGTGCCCGTCCATGGACGTGAGCAGTCAACACATCTCAAAACGGGCTTTAAAAAAAAAAAAATGGAATGTGTCTGCCTACTTAATACCATGACCCTCATAGAATCCACCCATGTGATTCGTGCAGGCAGAGACGCCTCTCTCCCAGCGATCTACGTGTTTTATCTTCCAAACTTGTGATGTGTTGGACTTTGCTGACCAGCAAAACTTGACACTGGACACAGGAGTGTAAGAACTTAGATCTTTTACTATGCCATGCAACAGTAGAGCAGAGGCACCAAAATATCTGTCCCGATCATCGTTGCTGAAATATATTGACACTCTGTTCGTACAGAGAACATAACGTATACCCTGTGACTATGAGTGGGGCGTCTCCAACGATGAAGAGTGTTTCCAGACCACCTTTCTGACCACAAGGCAATGAAAATAGAATTAAATAAGAAAACTGAGAAGCAAAACACGCACAAAAAATTCTAAGCATTCGTTAGACTCTTGATGTAATTCATAATAATTATTCTAGGAAGAATTCAGGAATATGAGGCCTTTTTTTTTTCTTTTTTTTTAGTGAGCGATGATACAAAGATACTACCTATTAAAATCTTTGGACTACAGCCAGAGAACAGTCCTTAAACAAAAATGCACTGTTTTCAGAAACATTTGTTTAAATGGGGGGGGAAAAACACATGAAAATTAACCAACTTAACTGTGCCTCAAGAAGATTCTACACGGGCGCCTGGGTGGCTCAGTCGGTTAAGCGGCCAACTTCGGCTCAGGTCATGATCTCGCGGTCAGTGAGTTCGAGCCCCGAGTCGAGCTCTGTGCTGACGGCTCAGAGCCTGGAGCCTGTTTCAGATTCTGTGTCTCCCTCTCTCTGCCCCTCCCCCGTTCATGCTCTGTCTCAAAAATAAATAAACGTTAAAAAAAATAAAATAAAAAATAAAAAAAAATGAAAAACAAAAAGATTCTACAAAAGCTGTGAAAGCAAAGAAAGAAAGAAATCAAATAGATTTTTTGGTAGACTGGCAAATGAATTTTCAGTGCAATTTATAAGTAAAGTCAGTGATTAATTTTCTTTGAATATTGATAAAGCAACATAAATTTGATCAAAAAATGGAAAGTACAAATGAACTCTGTACTTTCTAGAACTGGGAAGAGAAGTTAGTATTCACCAATACATAAGAGAAATATTAATGAATGTCAGGGCTATATAGGAAGAAATTTGATAAATAAGATAATTGGGTATTTCTTGCAAGAAAACGGGGGAGGGAGCCTAAGAAACCATAAAAGGCCCAAATATAGAGGGCACTGAAAAGTTATCTAAGAATATCAAATCCCAAATGTCACCTGAAACTAATACGTTTAGAGTTAATTGTTTTCAAAGCTTCGAGGAATAATGATATCCCTGTATAAATTTTCCTTGAAATTCAGAAGCAGCCTAATAATTGCATAATAGGATTCTTTCCTGATAACACGCAAGAAAAGAAAATCAAAAGACAATCTCAGTCATTAATAGTGATGTCAAGCTTAGATGAAACTCAGTAGGAGATTGAAGAGATTATTCATTGTTATTGGCAAGAGTTGAGCTGGTTTAATAAAAGACAAACTTTTAATTATAAAAAGTTATAGTGGCTGAAATAATTACAAGTTATCATACCAATTTCCCCAAAAGAGCTTATCTAATAGAATTAAGACCTATTTCTAATAAAAATTAAGATTTGAGAGCTACCTTTAAAACCTAACAAAGAATATCTCCTTTATTCCAAGGAGTGACATGATACTTAATGGAGGACTGTTTATAAAAAGTAGGTACCTTCAGTCCAGAAACTAAACCAGATCATGCTTTGAGACTGTGTCCTTTAATTAGGGAGCAAAGTACTTGACATTTATATGAGCAATGCAAAGAAAAAGGAATAAATTTTGGAGGTGAAAACATATATTTACCTATGCTTCTATATCTAAAAAAATACGAAAGTTAAATTATTCTGATTAAGAGCACAGTTATCGTGATGAGCTCTGAGAAATGGAAAGAATTGTTGAACCATTATATTCTATACCTGAAACTAATATAACACTGTATGTTAATTCTACTTGAGCTAAAAAATACATATAAATCAAATTTTAAAAATGAAATTATCCAAGATTATAAAACAAAGTGACCAGGTAACATATTTTAAAATACATTTCATATTTTATAAACCTTGTTTCAAAGCGTCGTTAATTTGTTCAGTGATCTATTTCTGCAT